CAGCTGCCGCGCCCGAGACCTCATCGCCGCCGCCCATGGCGCCATCGTGGCCAGAGGCCGAGCCAGCCGCTCCCGCGCGCGTCACTGTGCTCTTGGTGACGCCAGGAGGCCGTAGAGGGCCTCCGCAGTTCCTGCCGTGCCCCGCAGCCCGTTTTTCGCCCGAAGCCGTGCTCCGGCCGCCGCCTCGAGCTCGTTTCCGGCGATCTCAGGCACCCCCGCAGCCTCCCGCTTGCTCCAAACGACGCGGACGAGCTCCAGCTCCTCGTCTGTGATCTCCGCCGCCTAAATGGTCGCCGGAGGGCGTTTCCCGAGCCCTCCGCCGTGTTCGGCCTCGCCGGTGGTTAAACGCCGGTGGGGTTTGACCCCTTTGATCTCGCGGGCCCGTCAGGTGGGCCCCATGGGTCAGGTGATTAGCTTAAGGCTAATCACCATTTAACTAAACCTGACACTGACAGTGGGCCCCTGCGCCACTAATCCTATAATTAGGATAAACTAACTCCCTGTTAACTAACCGGTCACTGACGTGTGGCCCCCACATGTCAGGTTTGACCTGGTCAGCCCTGCTGACGCCTCTGTGATGTCATGCTGACGCAATAATGATTTTTCTAGATTTTAAATAATTCAAAGAATTCCAGAAATTGATATAAACTTCAAAAATTCATAGAAATTCAACTGTAGCTCAGATTGAAATAATTTATATATGAAAAATGATCAGAAAAATTCAATCTATCCATATGTACCATTTCCATGCATGACAAACCATCTATACATGCTGTATATATGAAACACACTTATGACATATTTAAGAACTTAATTTGGAGTTGTATTTGAACCCTTGGTTCAAATGGACCTCAACCAAATAAATGCTAGATACATCAACTCAAACAACATCACATACTCATGCCATGTTCATGCATCATAATGTTGCATATGCTTGTGTTTGATTTCCGACACCGTTCCTTCTCGATAGGTCCTGCTCCGGAGAGTGTTCGAGAGTACCTGTCTGAGGAGTAGTGCCCCCCTGTTGATCTACCAGGCAAGCTACCCCCCCTTGTTCATTCCGATAAAATCCTACTCTCTCGCTCCTGCTCTCATTTATTGCATTAGGACAACAACGATTCAACTGCTACTTTATGCTGCGGTAGTTGAACCCATTGCTCTGCATGACCTGTCATTGCCACAGTAAATAGTTAAAACCCACTAGCACGTGTAGGAGTTGTTTGAGCCATGTTGTGTTCCTACCATGCCATGCCTGCTACTGCTTAGAGTTGTGTCAGGTCTGATTCATCGAGAATGAATTGGAATGTTATGATATGTTCTGGTAATGAGAGTTAAGCGTATGAATACGATTTGGTAAAGGTAGCGGTGAGAGGCCATGTAGGAGTACATGGTGGGTTGTCTCATTGGGACCGTCCTTAAGAACTGAGTTCTGTGTAAGTTGTCCAATGACTAGCTACTACCACACATTGGGCTCTGGGCGCTTCAAGCTCTCTCGACTTATTAACCGCCTTGAACTATGTCCAGGAGTTGTAGATAGTTTTTGGTGTTTGTAGGTAGTGCTATTTTTCTACCGAATGGCACCCGGCAGGGTGGACTTGGGACAGACTAGGCACACATGGCCCGGTGTACCGAGTGGCATCCGAATGGTGGGCTCGGGAACCCTGTACACATCATTTGGGGCCGTGAGCGAAACCTCGGCCGGATCTCCTTGCGGATGGAACCCGAATAGGCGATAAACCTGGACTAGAGTCTTGTGTGGTTAGTCAGGTCGTGGCCGACACCCTCGCCAGCCTTCCGCTGGAAGGTTGCCGAGATACATGACGGGTATACGGTGATAAGTGGTGAGAGCGTGTGTGATGAAGTACACCCCTGCAGGGTTATCATGATCTATTCGAATAGCCGTGTCCTCGGTTATGGACTTCTTGGATGCTTACGCGGTACATAGACAACCTGAAGTGGATACTCTAAAATGCTCAAGATAAGTGTGAGTGCTATGGATGGCCTTCTCGTAGGAGAGACGGGGATGAATCCATAGTAGTGTATTGATGTGGTGATTAGTGGACTCGTGTGCGCTGCCTCACCTCAAAGAAGTTTCTCATTATCGTAGAACAGGATAGCCACTGAGTCAAAGCTGGCTTGCTGCAACTAAACCCCACATTACCTTCTTGATACAAATGCATGTATGATAGGATCTGATGTAAGTCTTGCTGAGTACCTTTGTACTCACGTTTGCTTTATTTATATTTTGCACGTGAGACATCTGTCTCACTAGTAGTACCACTTGGACTTCGACGAGTAGCTTGTTACCTCAGCTACGATCTTGTACCTTGGAGGGACTTGTAGATAGTCAGGCTTCTCGGCCTTTTTCTGTTGTAGTTGTCTGTACTCAGACATGTAATGCTTCCATTGCTTGTATGCTCTAAATGATGGGTCATGTGACCCCTGTTTGTATTTATGCTATGTGGCTCTTCTGAGCCTTTATCTATATGAGTTGCGTTATGTTGTGATGCCATGTTGTACATCACATACTTGCATGTTATGCGTACGTGTGACGTGTATTGCTATGTGTGGGATCCGACAATCTAGTTGTTTGTCCTTGACAGCCTCTCTTATGGGGAAATGTAGTCTAGTGCTTCCTTGAGCCATAGTAGTCCGCTACAGCCCGGTTCACCGGAGTCCTGCTAGCCCAGCACTACTGCTCAGAACACTTGACTGGCCGGCATGTGTTCCACTTCGTTCCTATGTCTGTCCCTTCGGGGAAATGTCACGCGGTGATTTTCGGAGTCCTGTTAGCCAGTGCTACAGCCCGGACTCATACGCTGTTGACCGACATACTCGATGTGATTCATGTATGCCTGTCTCCATAGGTCTGTGCCGCTTTGGGTTCACGACTAGCCATGTCGGCCCGGGTTCTCTGTCATATGGATGCTAGCGACACTATCATATACGTGAGCCAAAAGGCGCAAACGGTCTCGGGCCGAGGTAAGGCGACACCCGTGGGGTTACCGTGCGTGAGGCCGCAAAGTGATATGAGGTGTTACATGCTATCGGTGTGACTTAAAATCGGGGTCCCGACATTAGTGCACAAGGAATTAACTCAGAATGCAAATCAGATATCAATGGGGATCATAGCCCTCACATCCAATTTTGTAAATGCATCATCTCCAAAGGCGTCCATGAAAAAGGAGGGTTGGTACTGTCCTCCTAGGGGTTTTGTGAAACTTAATGTTGACGCCTCTTTTGATCATGACATGCTGAAGGGTATGATGGGGGCAGTACCGAGGGACGATAAATGTAGGTTTACTGCAGGAGGAAATGGAAAAATTGACTGATGTGCGGATGTTCTGATGACGGAAGCTTTAGCACTCAAATTTGGCCCAACACTGGCGCAAAGGGCGGGGTGTAATCGCATAATCATCAATTCTGACAATCTGAAGGTCATAGAGACTATGCAGGACGGAGGACAATCAGCGGATGCGGCGGCAGCAATTTTCGATGACTGCTTTCACTATGCATGTGATTTTGTCATGACTAGATTCGAACATTGTTATAAAGAGGCAAATAAAGTAGCTCATGAACTTGCCATATTAGCTAGATTTTCTTTGACTTCAGACTATTTTGAGGTGCCTCTAAATGAAATTGTAGTGATCCTCACAAACGATGTAACGGTTATCTTAAATAAATAAAGTTTCGTTTTATTTCAAAAAACATGGCTTTGACGGTGGATAGAAGTGAGATCATCAAAAACATTGCAATCAGTATTGCAAGTAAAGTTAGTACAAGAATCCAAGGTAATAATCATTCTTGTCTTATACCTTTGGTAGAAGAGTAGACTGTGCGTGTATTTCGCATTATCTTCAAGTTCTATTTGTGAAGATGCAAAGAATACTGAAACACAAACAACAGATGCAATCTTACCACTACGCGGAAAAACTAACATGTTCATAATATGCAATGCATGACAAAGGCGAGACAAAAGGGAGTTGGCTAGAGGCACGAATGCTTTTTGTGGAGGCACATATTTAATTCCATGAGAAGTACAGTTGTGCTTCTCTGAAAAAAAAGTGCTTCCACAAGAAGCATATATTTTCTTCTCATGGAGGCACACATTTACTTATGCAAGAAGTACGACTGTGCTTCTTGAAAAAGGAAAAAAATATGTACTTCCATAAAAAACATATATTTGGTTCCGCGCGAAAAGAAAATAAAAGTGAAAAAAAAATCATGCTCCAGCTCTGGTTTTTTTCCTTTCAGTTTTTTTTGAAAAAAATTGTTGAAACCTATTGGCATCGTATGTGGTTTCGAAAATCCCGACGCGGGAAATCCAATATTGAAAATGGTTTAGAATTTGGACGCATGGTTTAAGATATAAAATGTTTTGAATAAATGAATCTACGAAAAAAAGACACATGTCAACATCTGAGAAGGTGGGAGTGATCTTTGTAAGGGATAACACTTAACCAGTGATTTTGCCGATTAGGAGCACTTTTTTTTTGAGTGCTCACATTGGAGCTTAGCCCAGTCGGTGATGAGGCAGGCCACCTGCGAGGCTGGCCGAAGTGCTGGCCTGGGCTAGCAGGCCGCGGTTGGACTGACCCACGTCGGTTGGAGGCTTACGGAGCTGGGCCACGCGGCTGGTGCCCACTAGGGCGCGCCACCCACGCGGTCGGCGCTCGAGCGGAGCTGGGGTGGTGTGGCGGCGGTTCCTGGCGCGGCGGCGTGCCGCTGCGAGGCTCCAGCGACTCGCCGGAGGTCGTGGTTGGCCGCAATCGAAGTTGTCGGCGCGGGGACCTCCGGATCTGGTGCGGCGCCGAGCAGGGGAGGCGCGGGCCGAACCGGCGGTTGCTCCCTGCGGCGGGCAGAGGATGATAGCATGGCTTGCATGCCATAGCTAATAGTAGCAATGTAAGTATAAATCGGATAGCTAGCTAGCTCGGATAGGTGCTAATCACCAGAAAACAAAAGGTGCGCGTTCTGGTCCCGGTGCTTCCCGGCCGGTGATGATGGCGTTGCTGCCGGAATTCGATCCAGCGGACGTGGGCGCCGGCCGCGGCCTCATCGACCGCCTCACCGCCGACGCCGCGGCGCTGCAGAGGGACGTCCTCGCGGAGATACTCAGGCGGAACTCCCACACCGAGTACCTCGGCCGCTTCCTGGATCGCGCATCACCAGGCGCCTCGGCCGCCGACCTCCGCGACGCCTTCAAGGAGCGCGTGCCCGTCTCCGCGTATGAGGACATCGAGCCGTACGTGCGCCGCGTCGCCTCCGGCGAGCCGTCCAGCATCCTCTGCTCCGAGCCCATCACCCACCTCCTCACAAGGTAAACCCCGCGGTGCCCCGGTACTCGGTCGTGTGAGAAGGTCGTGTTGTACATACGTTTCTCATGGCCGTGGCGGCATTGGCATTTGCCACGTCTAATGCAGCTCGGGCACATCCGGCGGGCAGCTGAAGCTCTTTCCATCCACGGCGGAGAAGCTCGACCAGCGGCTGTTCTACAATGGCGTCCAGGCACTCTTGAGGAAGATGTAAGCATTGGGTCGCTTGTTCGAATTTATTTGGCCGCATAATATTTTGTCAACATGCATTGGACCGCTTGAGGAAGATGTGTTGTGCAGTCTAACAAACGGTGTGCATGCATTGCATGGTTCCAGGCATCTTCATCCTGATCAGGGGGACAGACGCGGCAAGGGGATGTACCTCATGTTCATCTTCCCTGGAAGCCTGACCTCATCCGGCCTGCCTATCATGGCATCCAGCAGTGCCTACTACCACAGCAGCCAGTTCCAGGAGCACGACATTGGCGGGTTTGGCCGGTGCACCAGCCCCATCGAGGCGGTCCTCTGCCCAGATGGCAGGCAGAGCATGTACTGCCAGCTGCTCTGCGGCCTGCTTGACCGTGGAGTCGTCGACCATGTCGGCGGCACGTCGGCGGCACCTTTGCTAACGCTTTCATCAGAGGCATCCAGTTCCTGGAAGACAACTGGGAGGAGATGTGCTCCAACAACCGCACTGGGCGTCTCAGCGACTGGATAACACATGCTCCTCTGCGTGATGCCGTCGCTGCACGTCACCTGCGAGGACCTGACCCGGCACTGGCCGACGAGATTGCATCCGAGTGTGCCAGGAAGCCCTGGGATGGGATAGTCAGGAGGCTCTGGCCAGGAGTTCGGTACATCCTAGCCATTGTCACCGGCTCGATGTCGCTGTACATTCCGGTTCTTGAGAGTTATGGTGCTGGGCTGCCATTGGTGTCGCCTATGTATGTGTGCACAGAGTGCGCCGCGGGGATCAATCTGAACCCTCTTGATATACCTTCTGCTGTGTCGTACGCATTGCTTCCAAACATTGCCTACTTCGAGTTTGCAGAGGTTACGCATGGTGACGATGAAAAGGTGCAAGCGGGTACTGGTTTGTATGACAATTTGGGCGAGTTAAAGCTTGTGGATCTTGTGGATGTCAAAATTGGTCGGCGCTACGAGCTGATTGTCACCACCTTTGCAGGTGAGCTACTCATTATTATCTCCAATCTGATTTCTTGCATTCTTTCAAAGCTGTTGTAGCTGTGCTAGGACTACATCATGATTTATTCTCTCTTGGCGTTACTCCAAATACATGATCAATGTAGTTATCTGCCCTGCCAATTACGAAGAAACTGAATTGAACTAGCACTTCACTGCAGTAAGGCAATTAATCTTGCCTGTGTAAGCCTGATTTGTTTTGCTTACTTAGCTTGAAAGCTTTGTGGTGTTATAAAATCAACAATACAACAACCGCTGAGAAAGTTGTAGTCTAACTTGTGTAAGAAACACTATGATTTTGACTTGACAGTTTTTTGCATGCCAGGTCTTTACAGATACCGAGTGGGTGACCTTCTTACTGTGAGCGGATTCTACAACGCAACGCCACTGTTCCGCTTCACTGGAAGGTGTGGTGTCGTCTTAAAAATAGACTTCGAGAGTATAAGCGAGGAGGATCTCCTGAAGGCCATTTCACAAGCCTACGAGCTGCATCTTAGGCCTCTTGGTTACATGCTTGGTGGCAGCACTGCATATGCAGACATATCCACCTTGCCTGGCCACTACGTCCTGTTCTGGGAGCTAGCCACTGCAGAGGGTAACCATGTCGCGACTGACATCGATCGAGCTGTCATGGAGAATTGCTGTTTGGCCGTGGAGAATTGCTTTGATCAGATGTACCGCAAAAGCAGGCGCCGAGGGTCGATCACAGCACTCGAGATAAGGGTACTTGAGCGTGGCGCATTTGATGCTCTCATGGACTTGTTTCTGTCCAGAGGCACATCGGCCAGTCAGTACAAGACTCCAACGGCTATTCGATCAGAACAAGTGCTGCTGGTGTTGGAGGAGAGGGTGTCAGGAAGGTACTTTAGCCAAGAGACTCCCAACGGCCCTTTGTAGTACGACTATACGAGAGGAAATGGTGCTGGTTAGTAGGTGTGCAGGACGAGAGGAAATGGTGCCTAGGCAGGAAGGCAGCCAAGTCCTTGTTGGCATGTTGCTGTGGGTCTGAACTTGAACACTTACAATTTAACATGCTTGTTAGTAGTATGATTCAGGTTGGAGAACTTACACTTTGTTTCCACTTTAGCATGCGTGTTTTTAGTTTATTTTCTTTCAAAAAAGGGCGCATTTATCTTATCCTATATATACCTAAATAGTTCATCTCAACTACTTCTATTATCTTAACACTAGCACAAATGCCACATTATCACAGGCCCACCTCAACATGCATGAGAATTATTTTTCATTATTAGTTTGATCCTCACTAATCTTATTTATTTCAACATACACACATAAGCCATCCACACATGTCACGTCATCAAAGGTCCACCAAACATGCATAGATTTTTTATATTATATTACCTATATACAATAAATATTTTTCAACTATACGATAGTTCGATACAATATATAATAGGTATTTTAGTTTTTTCATATATTATTGATCCAAATGTTTGCGTACAAGCTAATCTTATTGAAATACTCTTATATTACTACAACATATTCCCGCCACAACGCTTGCAGTATTATCTAGTATCTAGTATTCTTAAGAGATTCATCTTCACTAATTTTTTCTATCTCAACATGCAAGCATGTCATTTCACCATACAACTATGAATAGGGTGACCCATCTCAACATGCAATCATGTATGTGAAAGACCCACCGCAACATGCAATCATGCATGGAAAATTGTTTTTCATTTAATTATTCTTTTTTTGCAAGTGTTCATTTAATTATTCTATTTATATTCAATACATAGTGTTACAACAATACATAATCAAATATAATAAGTCATATGTATTTTTAATTTTGGTCTTGATGTTATCAAACCAAAATTTAATCAACCAATTCCCGCAACAAGGTGCCTCGTATCATCTAGTTAACTCAAATGTAGCACCAAGTGAATATAAAACATGCTGAGCAACACCCGACCTCTGCATAACTAAGATGCACACAACCAAACAGCAGCAATCTTCTGAAGAAAAAAATCAACATATTAACAACAGTAGCCATATTGGACCGACACCATTAACGTAGCCAGAGGGTGGCCAGGGTGGTCCATGGACCACCCTGGAATTTTACTCACCCTTGTAGGAGTACGAGCCAACGAGGAAATCTTTTTTAGGGGATGAGCCCACGAGGAAATGGTCATTGCAGCTTCGTTCAACTGTGTTGTGGCGTGTTAGCTTGGGGCCTAGGCGCTTGTTGTATAATTTTCGTTTGTAGCTGAAGTACTCCCTCCGTCCTGAAATTCATGTCGCGGCAGCGTTTTTGCAATTTAGCCCTTGTCGTTTCCCCGACCAAACCCGCGGTCCTCTCTCTCCTTCCTCACTCTTCTCCGATGCCGGCCGATTTGGTCGCGCC